AGCATGCATATAGTTGCATACACACGCACACACGGGCACCACGGTTTCCTGTCCATGGCGACCCTCCGTCTAACTCAGGACTCCTTCAAGTCCGTTAACCTGGTGCCCTGCGACTCCGACCAAGCCGGCACGTTCGTCCACGACCAAGACAGCGGTCGAATTGCGCTACAGGCCGACGCCTCCTCCCCCCCCGACGCGGACCCCCAAACCGTGGCCGATGCCGAGGATCCCGTAGGTGAGAAGGCTAGCTTTCGGTGGTTAGGGTGGGGTTCGTGGCACTGTTGTTGTTGGTGGTGGTGGTGCTTGAGATGAAGCCCTTGTGCTGGCGACGGTGCTGCTGTAGTCGGCGTCGTTGTTTGCTGTTTCGTGTTGAGGTGCTGGTGCTGCTGGTGCTGGTGCTGGTGCTGAGGGTGGTGTTCTGTATGTTGATAGAAACCCATGTTGGCCTCGTTCGTGGCACTATGTGCCATACTACACATACCTGTTGTCCTTGCGCGTTTCCTTTTTCGAGGAACTCCTTCTAGAGTCTAGCCCACGACTTCTGGGACTGCCGTGGTGCTCTTCGTGACTAGGATTCACGTGGCATCGGTTTTGTTTCCCTGGTTCTAAGAGTAGCAATTGAACGCAGCCCGCCGCGGAGAGATTGGCTGATCTATGTGGCCCCGGATCGTGGTTGTCTCCCTTGAGAGAGACACGAGACTAGTGTAGAGGTAGGTAGCAAACTGCATGAGAGAGCGAGATGGTGTAAGGATGGGGTGACAAAAAACGAAGAGATAAGTCTAGTTTCAGCCTGCTGTACTCGCTATTTTCAATGCTGCTGCTGTTGCCTAAAGACTACCACCCACACGTAGGCGCAGATTGTATGACACCTATGTACCGTTTCTAACGTCCTCCATCTTCTCGTCGAAGGACAACGAGCTTGGAATTGTTTTCTTCAGTGCACGTCAAAACGAACAACCCCCGCAATGCGCTTTTTGCGTGTGACAGTTTCAGGATCGACGGGGTCAGTCTGCCTGGATGTGCTCGACGGGTCTACCGAAGACGGGGTGGTGCTAACCCTTAGCCCGTGCGATCTGGAATCGGAGGACACTAGCAGCGGTCAGAGATGGGAGTTTGCTGAGGTATGCGGCTCTTGTTATTGTTGACGTTGTCGGTTGTTGGTCTATTATAGATAATGTTGTTGTCGAGCGCGATAACGAGAGTTTCACTTTAGTGTTTTTTTTTCTGTTTTTGTCCTAGTCGTTTCGTTGAAACCGCTGGTGTTTGCAAGCACGATTACAGGAGGAGAGACGATCCTTTGTACCCATCGGGTACTGTGGGCGAAACATGCGTGGCGTCATGGTTGCCCTTCCCAACTCTCTTCGATTATTTTCCACTTGTTTTTTCCGCGTTGTATCACTGCTGTTGTCCAAGCCAAACACATGGTTGCATCCCAGCCTCTCGAAAATGCACACAACACCTCTCAAGCAACTCCGTGCTTTGAGCTTCAACAAACTGCACTTCTTTACCCCCACAACGATCGAGCGAGCGGTGAATCGCAGCCTGAACTTGTCTTGTTGTTAACGAGTACGGCATGCGAGGTCAATGGTCTGACTACTGCGGCATGCACGACTATGAGTACCCCCCCCCCCCCCCCCCC